GACCTCTTGAGTGTCATTACCCGTGACCACAATATCATCAATATAAACTATCAAGAAGGTCACCGGAGAGTCGTTTCTCTTCAAGAACAGGGTATGATCAGATTGAGTTTGTGTGTAACCAAAGGAGACAAGAACAGCCCTGAATCTCTCAAACCAAGTCCGACGAGACTGTTTGAGACCATAAATAGATTTCTGCAGTTTACACACCTTACCTTGCATTTCCTTCCCATACACCCCTAGAGGCAAAGACATAGACCTCTTCATGTAGGTCTTCATTCAAGAAGGCATTTTTAACATCAAACTGGTGTAGAGGCCAATCAAAAGTAGCGGCTAGAGATAAAAAAACCCTAACTGAGGTCATCTTAGCTACAGGAGCAAATGCCTCAACATAGTCAATACCATACATCTGAGTGTAGCCCTTAGCAACCAGCCTAGCCTTAAACCTCTCAATAGATCCATCAGAGTGATATTTAATGGTAAACACCCATTTACAACCCACTGGTTCCTTCCCTTCAGGCAAGTCAACAATATCCCAGGTATGGTTCTTATGCAAACATCCAGTTCAGCCATCATAGCATCCCCCCATTCAGGTTTAGATAAAGCTTCCGATACGGACCTGGGTATCACATGGGAAGAAACAGAAGCAAGAAAACAGTAGGAAGGAGAGAGAAGGTTGTAAGACAGGTGTTTGGAGATACAATGGGTTGTACACTTCCGCTTGCCCTTGCGGAGAGCAATAGGAAGGTCAAGGTCTGGGAAAGATGTAGATGGGTCAGAAGAAGGCTGACCTGTTATCTCAGTAATGATGGGAGGAGCAAGAGGCTCTTCTTTAGGAATGGAAACAACCTGCTCATGTTTGAATCTATGCCTTTGGTACCACCTTTGGAGAACAGGATGAGGAGGAATTATAGGAGAATGAGGTGGAGGAGGAGGAGGAATAGGAATATCGGAGGTAGGTCCAATGGGAGAAGTAGACACCTCATGATAGGACTCAAGAGGAATGGGAAGAGAAACAGCTAGAGACATAGCAAAGGGCTCTTTAGATTTYTGCCCCTCAAGAGAAATACTAAAGAAATAGTCAACTCAACAAATGTGACATCCTGAGATACAAAGCGGGTGCCACTAACTAGATCAAAACAGCAATATCCCTTGTGTGTGGAAGCATATCCCAGAAAAACACATTTACGAGCCTTAGGTTCAAACTTGTGTCTTTGATGGCTGTGAACATGCACATAGCAAGTGCACCCAAAAACACGGAGAGGAATAGAAAAAATATCCTCATCCGGGAAGAGAAAGCTAAAGGGGGTATTGAAGTTAAGAACCCGGAAGGGCATACAGTTGATCAAAAAGGTAGCAGTAAGAACAGCATCTCCCCAAAACTTTATAGGAACATGGGATGCAAACAGGAGGAATCTAGCAACTTCAACCACATGTCTGTTCTTCCTTTCCGCCACTCCRTTCTGTTGTGGAGTGTAGGAACAAGAAATTTGATGAATAACCCCAAAATTTTCAAGATAGGTGGAGAGGGTTTTCTCAAAATACTCCTTAGCATTATCATAACAGAATATTTTGATCCAAGTGTTAAACTAGGTGAGGWTGAGTTCATGAAATTTTTGCACAATAGCTGGTACTTCATCCATGGATTTCATGAGATAAATCCAAGTGTAACGAGAGTAGTCATCAATAAAAAGGATAAAGTACCTGTAACCCCCCATARTTRGCAAATGATATGGCCCCCAYACGTCAGAGTGAACAATATGAAAAGGAGAAAGATATCTTTTATTGCTTACTGAATAAGAATGTCCACAATGTTTTGCCAGTTCATAGGACTCACAATGAAGACTCGATAAAGACACTCCCTTAAACATATCTGGAAACAAATGACTCAAAGCAGAAAATGACAAATGACCAAACCGAAAGTGACATAACAAGACTTTGTTAACAGACTCTGACAAAACTGACTCTAAGGCAACTCCACGAGATGGTC